ATATCTTTATGATATATCATAGTGCAGGGATCATTGTAGATCTTCATTATGTATTTTTTGAATTGAATGAACAATGTGGAGGCAGCAATTTTTCAAACGAGGGCTTAGAAAGAGGTTGAAGATTATAAATACCTCTTGAGAGCAGGGATTGTGTCTTGTTTACCAGGGAGCTCTCAGAGTTTAGCACAATCTTTGAAAAACAGTATACACTTTACAGATATTTGTTGAAGAAATAAAGGGATAGATGGAAAGATAGATGAATATATGTTGTCAAAAGTATTGTTGTAAAACTTTGATTCTCTGCTTTATAAAGGCATTATTGCCACCTGCTTCATTTCTCCTGCTTTTGTCTTCTGCTTCCTGCAATCAGATACAATGACAGATATATCTATAGGCCTAGGCCTGTGCTAGTTCTGAGCTGAGTATGACAGGGACAGGAGTTATAGCAGTACCCTCAGTCCTACCCTCCTGGGATTCAGTTTTGTTGATTATCAAGGTCTGGTGCATCAGCAATAAGTTCTGTGACTATGTGTCAGCAACTTATTAATAACAGCCTTGGGTGAGCAAGGCACATGTGGCAGGGTTATTTCATCATCCTTCCCATCACTTTCAATTTCCTCTGCTATATGGCAGTACATTCCCACTTCCTAGACTTGACTTCCTCCATATTCAGCTTGTAGGCATCTTTCTGTGCCCTTCAAATATCACACCCTGCTACCTGCCCTGTTCCTGAATTATTAGAATTATCAACTACTCAATCATTTCTGATACTGACATTATATGTCTCTGTTTCTACCTCCCTCTGATCTTATATTTCATCAGATACGATAAAGGAGTAATGGGACTCCTTCAATTTTAATCCAGTGAGGCACATCTGCTTGTCATTGGGGTAGTCCTGGTAAGCCATTTAAGCCATCAAACTATGCATGTGGAGTACCTGTTTACCCACACCTGTTTAAGTAGTTTCCTAGATATATTTCTCTCACATAGACATTGTCAATGTTCTCACACATAATTATTAATATTTGAAAGATCTCTTTTTTTAAAAAAAGACAATGGCATTATATTAAGGTGAAAACATTTTCTTTTAAAAAGGAATGAAAGAGGGAAAGAAAGAAAGAAAGAAAGAAAGAAAGAAAGAAAGAAAGAAAGAAAGAAAGAAAGAAAGAAGAAAGGAGAAAGGAAATCTCTTCTGTACAGAAGAATTCCAATTAATAAATGTGAAAGAAATGAAGGAGGTTGAAAATCAGTAATAGGAAACCACTACAGTAATAATCATAGGCAAACTACACCAAATGATGCTAAAATTAGTGCACAGAAGTTTGAGGAGAAACACACAGTATTTGCATACTTTCAGAGTATGTCCCCTAAGAGTTTATTAATTACAAAAGGAAAAATAGTGACTTTACTGCGGCAAAACCTGGCAGACACCATCCTGCCAAATGATCAAGGTTAACATCACTCCTTGATATGCCCTTCACTGAGAAGAGCACATCGTTTCTGCGGTATTACTGCCAAAAAATGCATAATGTCTTAAGTTAATTGGGAGATAACACCAGGAGGAAAAAACAAAAACAAAAACAATTGGATGGCAGGCTACAAAATACCTGACTGGTACTCTTCAAAAGTGTCAAGTCATGAGAAAGCACAAGACTGTCAAAGACCAGACAAGGAGAGACAAGGTGCTATCACAGACTGGAGACGATTAAGGAGACACAACAACTTAGTGCATAAAAAAGAACATTAAGGGGAAAACTTACAAAAATACTAGCTGTCTGTAGTTTAGCTAATAGCATTATACCCATGTTAATTTCCAAGTTTTAATAATCATGCTATGATTATGCAAGATGCTAACATTGGGAGAAACAAGGTGAAAAACGGATGGGAATTCTCTATATTATTTTTACAACCTTTCTGGAAGTCTATATTTATTTCAAAATAATGTACTCAGGTTAAAGAATTGTAAATGGTTTAAAACAGGGTATGGCATATTGTAAATGTTTAATAAAGTCTAATCAGCCTTGATCAGTCACTATAGCCCCAGTGTGGCCAAACTCCTAGGCTGCACACAACTGTACTCTGCCCATAGCTGAGCTTGTGTGACAAACCCCATCTCATCAACATATTGTCCTCTCCAGACAAGGCATGGAAAAATCGGGATCTATTTCTCTGTCCTTATTGCTTTAGGGGAAAAACTGGAAGTGTTTATTCCTTCTTCTGTCTTTCCAATGTCTATCATAAGAGATTGCTTGACTTTCTCTGAATGTCGATCGAAAATCCTAGCAAGATTGCTTGGAGATAGCCAAGAAGGACTCATGCATAGGAGACCACATTTTGCTAACCTTCCAGAGCTCTTGGATGGCACCACTGCCTCCATAGATAAGAAAAAATGTTTTCAAAAAGCATTTGACAAGGTTTCACATCGAAGATTTATGTCTAAAGCAGACTCAGGGAATGGGAGGTAAAACAGCATATTGGAGCAGAAAACCAATTTAAGAGTAGTAGACAAAAAGCAGTCATAGATGGCAAGGTCAGCTTCGAAGGGGGTAAGAAATCGAATGCTTTACAGAGCTCTGGGAATAAGACCTACATATTTTGGGACACGTGCAGAGGAGCAAAGATCATTGAATTTGCTGGTGATACTAAAATTGAAGTCTTAGTGAATAATAAGGTACAATATTATCAGATTGAGAAGGATTTGAATTGTGGGTGATTAAGGCAGAGGATGCCAAATGCAGTTCAGGTATAAAGATACAAACTAATAAGTACAGGATCAAGGAGCCAATTATGCAGAACATACACCCAGAAAAGGATTTGGAGGATATTGTGGGAAAATCTGCAAAACCATCAGCATAGAGCACAACTGCATTAGAAAAAGCAACCCGGATTTACTAGGTTATCTCATCAAAGGGAAAAGAGATGAGAGGAGAAAGTGATACTACACCTTTGTAGGGCATTAACTTGATTCCTATTTTGAATATAGTGTCCACGGATAAACTAAACAGAAAAAAAGAAATTAGCTTGGGAATGGGGAGGTAGTAAAGGGAAACATTTAATTGGGAAACTATTTCCATTTTAGTCTCATTGGGAAATAGGGGATTTCATAGTAGAGGTTTTAAAAAGAGGAAAATTTTTGAAATGTGGAAAATGGTGAGCAGATTATTGTTTAGATGCATGCATTGTCCCAGTGATAGGCTCAGATATCCTTTAAAGGACTCAACTAGAAGTTTTCTGTACTACTAATGTGGTGGCATGTGCTTATAAAGGCAAAATTGAGCCCCAGGATTAATATAGGGGGACCAGAGCAGAGCTAGTTAATGCTACACATAAGAAAAACCTGCTAGGAAAAGCTGGGGACGTAGAAGAGCAAATGAAGTGACACTTAAATTTATTTTTGGTGAAGGAGGTGATTAAAAATCATTGTTAAAAAAAATCACAGGGAAAAGGAAGTGAGAACAAATTTTAAATGACCAGTTTTGACAAGCAAAGTTTTCCTAATTGCAAAATCTTCACATATAAACTAGAATGTAGCTATGTAAACAAGCCTTGAAGTTTTCCATTTATTTATATTTGTGTGCACTGCCGATCTGATTCTGCCACAGGGAATGTGAATCCATTTTAATGTAAGTGCAGTGCATGCCAATTTCACATGGCTCAACCTAACGTTCTGTTTAACATGGTCCACTAGATTCAGTATATAGGAGTGAAGCATGGAGTTTTGGTTGCGTCCCTCAGCACACAAAGCAAAGCAAAAACAGAAGCAATTTTACTGGTCATTTAGGGTTAAAAATAACTTTTATCTGAAATAGCCTGAGAGGTAAAGCAAAATACTGAGCCTTGTTTACCTTTTGATACTGCCATCTGGTTATCTCAGTTCTCTACTTTACTTTGCATGATAAAGAATCACAGAAATTTCTAGCTGGGAGGGACCTTAAGAATCATTTAGCACAATCCTCTTAAATTACAGATAAGGTGAATAAGAAACAGAGAGATTAGGAAATTCACCAAAAGTTTTAAAGGTAGTAAGAAGGAAGCCCAAAACTAGATTCTTGATTTCTAATTTAGCATTTTAACAAAGTTGTAGTTGCCTAAATTTATAAAACCACTTCAATGATATATTTCTGCAATTATGTTTAATTTATATATCATTTTTATATTTTCATTTTCAAATTTATGTCTTCATTTTCCAGAGTATGAAATCTAGAATTTCTTACAACATGGCCATGTAGAAGCCAGCAGTAGTGGGCGTCACCTCTAGGACAACAGGAGTAATCGCTGACAGTTACTCTGGGAGGGGACGTGCCAATCCTTGAGAAGGCACCATACTTCATGCCCAGCTACTTGCCACAGGGCACACAATATGGGCAGGAGTCCACACTACTTTGTGTCTAGTGGCAGCTTTACTGTGACCTAATATTGATATAACTTGGACAAGTTGAGCCTTCTCCCTAGGTCTTGTTTCTTCTTAAATGTGAGAATAGGATTAGATGATCTACAAAATTCTTAAAGATTTAAGATTCTAGTGTATGATTATAGTGAAGGATAAGGAGGTGAAGGTGACTCATGTGTGGTCAAATTTCCAGTTGGATGTTCTTTAGTGGGGTACCCAGTTGAAAATCAATGTACAATTTCTCAATAAACCCAGCCCTGCCAGTTTTTCCTTCTGAAACAGACCATCTTTGGGGAGGCAGGAAGGTAAGCACTACATCAAAGAGATACTATGTATTTAGGGCAATGATATATGAAAAATATGTACTATGGTATTAAAGTACAATCACACTCATTCTAGAAAGATGCTCACATTATGAAAAAAATCTATGTTCAACTGAATCCATGAGATCAACTGAAGGAACCATGTCTCACATCACTGTCTCCAGGACCTAGAAAGTAGAAGTTTGGAATTCAGTATCCTTATAGAACATGAATCTAATCCCCTTTCAGAGAGTGAAATATTTCTGCAATTCCTAATTAGTAAAGGTTATTTAAAATTTATTTTTCAGGTGTATACAACGACAACGAGTAAGATGTGCAACGTTTGGGGGATGGACATGCCTGAAGCTCTAACTAGATGGGGGAGGGGGGTATGGGCAATATAAGTAACCTTAACACTTGTACCCCCATAATATGCTAAAATAAATAAATAAATAATAATAAAATAAAATAAAAAATAGCTTTAAAAATATTATAAACATAAAAAAATTAAAATAAAATAAAATTTATTTTTTAAGAGTTTCTTCCTTTGACCTAATGGTTTTACCTTATTGCTCACCTATTAATTTGCCAGTCTCCTGCCAAAATGTCTCTATCTTGTTAAAATCTCTAGAGATAAAGTATTAATGTCAACAAAACATGAAATCACATGTGCATTTACATAGTTACAACATAAGGACTCTGTACTTATGGAAATCTTTTTATGCATATTCTTTAAATGTTACATATGCTGGGAGAATTTTGCTTTTACTAATGAATATCTGTCCAGATAACATGGGGTTACACATTCAAAGCAGTGCAAAGTAAAATTTGTTACTGGAGTATGAACAGCCTCAGGCCTGTACCTGACTTTGAACTTTGCACCGGTATCCTAAGGTCTCCTTAGGTGTTGAGATTACTTGCAGTACCTGTTTTCTGAGTGTGATTTGGAAGTGCAGTGATATAATATTGAATTATTTTGTGCCAGCAATTCACAGACATTTTAGAATGTGTCCACCATCAGGCATGAGACAGTGGATTCATCATTTATTTTGTAACATTTTAGAAGGCTGCTAAAGGAGTTTTATAAAATGTTTGATTCTTTGTGCTTTGCAAACAATGTAAACAAAAATTAAACAAATCATATAGTAGGAATCCAAAGAAACAGCTTTAAATTCCCCCTTCCTCCCCACTCCACAACTTCCGGAGTTTAGAAGCCAAACCTTTCAGAACTAACTGCTATTGATGACAGTGTAATTGTTGATACATAGTCCCTTTATTTTCTTGTTATTTTTGTCTTGTAATTTATTTGTAAGAGGTGATATTTTGAGATTACCTAAGAGATTGTTCCTCTTTTAGGTTTGGCCAGATTTGTAATGCAAAGCTTATGCTATAAAAATACCTTTGGTGGATTTAATTAAATAATATTTAATAACAAGAAAGTATTTTGGTGGTCATATTATTATAAAGAAATTCTTCTTGTGTTTAAATACAATATTCAATAATTTGGCTATTTTTCTGTGCCCCAGGAATAGGTTCATTGATATCTTATGAAAAGTAGATATTTGTTAAATGCTTAAATCTCTAAATTTTAATTTCGATTAAATGTAATAAATATATGCCCTTGATGTTTGAATAACTGTACATGGATACTTTCTTAGTGGATTATCATATGGAACATTAAGGTGAAAGAATGAATTCATCAAAATATAGTAATATTCAGCTGTTTAATATATACCAGAACACTTTTGCCACCTTTAGACTTTAGAAAAATGCAGTCTGTGAAATTATTCTTATTATTGCATTAAATATAATGCAATCTATATATTTCTCATTTCTTTACACATTGATCTAATGATTTCCAAGACTATTAGATGTGGGATTCCACTCAGTCCCAGCTTATTGGGTCAATGTAGAAATTAACCAGAATGTAAGCTTTAAATGAAGAATATAAATTAAACCTCAGAATTTATTTTAAAATATGCATCTGGGATATAAAATAGGCACCTGGTGATTAATGATATTCAAACTGATAAGGAAGGAAAGCAACAATAAAACTTCCTGCCAGAAACTTTTTACTTATCTAGGCACCCTCACCCATTTCACTCAATATTATTTTTACAAAAAGCAACCATACCAAATATAACCCACAAAAAATAATAGTTTTGCTTCACTTGCTTCGCCTACAGTGCCAGGGGGATAGATTTAATGATCTTATAGGTCTTTTCAGTCTCTCTAATATTTGTGAAATGGCAACTGTCAATGTTGAACAAGAAATTGCTGAAATAGCACAACTTTTTGAAATGGATAATATCTCATAGGACAAGAGCCCAGAAATGGAAAGAACAACCATAAACCTCACTGAAATTCATCTCAACAGAATGCCAACTTTACTTCTCAGCTAATAAAAACAACCAACTTTAAAAATGCTGTCAGAGAGTCAAAATCAGCCATTTTGAAGATCTCAGTGCCAACTTTTTTGTGTATGCCAATGAGTACAGTGACTCTTTCTTAATGTGCTTATTTTCCATTTTGACTTTTTTTGTAGCCTGACCATTTGGTTTCTATGTATGTCAGATGAAGAAGTGGGGTCAATTAGATATGTCCTAGATTTAATTAAGTCTAGTGTTGGATATTACTTAGAATCTATTTGTTTATTAATAAAGCTATCATTTTTGACAACATTTAAATAGTTCTCTATAGAGAGAAGAAACATAAGCTAAAGTACTTTTAAGTACTTCTGGTTAATTAAGCAATTAAAAGCTTTCTCCTTTTTATTTTTCAATATAAAGTCTGAATTTATAAATATTATCAATATTTGACAATTGATTTTTTAAATGCTAGGTCTGGAACATAAAGGAGAGATCCCTGAGAGAAAGCATGCACAGAGAAAGGAGTCCAAGATACTTCCATTTCCCCCTTAGGCATTTGACAGATGTTATATTTTGCATGTTGATAGGCAATGAAATCAAGCAAAAGTCACTAAAAATAAATTGGGTTTCAGCAGTCTTCCAGTGTTGAGGATGTATTAATATTAACTAGAGTTCAGAACTAGCCAAAGAAGGATCCTAGAAATCATGTAGCACCCAGAAGAGCCAAGCCTGAGAACGGAGTGAAGCAGAGGTGGAAGAGATCTATACAACTTCAATCCAGGTGGTTCATTCCTTGATTAGATTAAGGTGATTTGCTCCAACTTGGGCTGTCTATAAGAAAATAAGGTAAACACATCCTCTAGAGCCTCCTCAGTTTTGTTTTGTTTTGTTTTTTGTATAATATTTGTCATTCAAGAAAAAAAATCTATGGGATAGCAAAGAGAATTAAAACAAACAAACAAAAAACTGATCCAAAATTTCTAGATGACCCACTCATTGGCGTTATCAGACACAAACTTTAAAAAAACTGTGATTATCATGTTCAAAACAATGTATGACAAAAGGAGATGTTTTACCAGAAAACTGAAATTTATAAAAAATAATTACATAAAAATTAGAAAATCATAAAATGCTATAATAAAAATTAAAAGAGACAAAAAATTTATTTCTAAAACTTAAAAAAGACATCAACTTGAAAATTCAAGAAAAAACATGAACCTTAAATGGGATAAACACAAACACCTCTGAGTATATCATCATAAAATTTGTGAAAAAGAAAGAAACTATGAAAAGTTAAAGGAAGCCAGAGAAGCATAAAATATATTATCTTCAAGGAAGGAACAACAAGAAGTACAGCCAATTTCCCATAAAAAACAGTGGATGCCAATTGGCAATAGAATGAAAGTTTTAAGTAGCTTAAAAAAATAGGTAATGACCCAAAATATCATACCCTTGAAAGTGCTCTTTCAATAGCACCAGTAAAATATAGACATCTCCAGACAAATACACACTGACATAATTTATTTCCAGAAGAACTGAATTAAAAAAAAAATAAAATAAAAGTGTTTTTCAGGAAGAAGAAAAGTTATTCTAGATGAAGACACAAAACTATAGGAATTAATGAAGAAACAAGAAAAGGTAAATATTGGGTAAAAAAAAATAAATATCAATTAATCATAAAACCACAATAGTGTTTTTATGAGACCTAAGATACATACAGAATTAAAAAGCATGATAACAATAACATAAAATGTGGGGTTAGGAGAGAAATAAATATGCATATGAATCATTTGTCTAAACAAATCATATGCTGGGCATAAAACCAATCCCCAAAACTTTTAAAGAATGAAAGTTATTTAGAGGGTTTTCTGATCATAGAAGAACTATGTTGAAAGTGATAGCAAAACATTAACCTAAAATCCCCAAATGTTTAATATTGGGAAAAGTAGAAGTAGTAATTGGCCAAAGTATCAAAGGAGAATTCTCAGTGGATAGAAACTATTTTTAATGTATAATAATAAAAATAGACATATCAAAATTTGTAAGATACAGCTGATCCATTAGTTAGAGGAAATCTATGATTTAAAATGCATTATATTTGAAGAGTAGAAAGGGTGAAAATTTAATCCTCTAAATGCCATCTCAAAAAGTTAGGAAAAGGACAGCAAAAGAAACTCCCAAAAATAGAAAGAAAAGGAAATAAAGACAATCCATAAATTAATAAAACATAAAATGAAAGGAGAGAATGAAGCACACCACAAATTGGCTACTTTATGTTTTTATTTTATTTTTTTTATATGGTGAAGAGTGCACACCTTGGACTGATGTCCAAGAGGTGTGACCTTTGTAAGTATTGGAACCTTCTCTGAGTCTTCCTGTAGGTATATCATGTGGCACACACAGTGTAAGATCCTGGTGCCTAATATGTTTTTTTTTTTTAATTTCAGAATATTGCTGGGATACAAATGTTTAGGTTACATATATTGCCTTTGTCTCACCCAAGTCAGAGCTTCAAAGGTGTCCATCCCGCAGGGGGTGCACATTGCGCCCATTAGGTGTGTATATACCCATCCCTCCTCCACCTCCCATCTGCTGGACACCCGATGAATGTTACTACTATATGTGCACATAAGTGTTGGTCAGTTAATACCAATTTGATGGTGAGTATATCTGATTCTTGTTTTTCCATTCTTGTGATACTTCACTTAGTAGAATGGGCTCCAGCTCTATCCAGGATAATGCAAGAGGTGCTAGATTACCATTGTTTTTTGTGGCTGAGTAGAGCTCCATAGTATACATATATGACATTTTATTAATCTACTCATGTATTGATAGGCACTTAGGTTGTTTCTGCATCTTTGCAGTTATGAATTGTGCTGCTATAAACATTCGAGTGCAGATGTCTTTTTTATAGAATGTCTTTTTTTCCTTTGGGTAGATGCTCAGTAATGAGATTGCTGGATCAAAAGGTA